CCCCAAAACCCCAAAACCCCAAAACCCCAAAACCCCTATTTCTTCTTAATTAGTGGACAAAATCATTAAATTTTAATATGGATACTCGAAGAAAAACAAGATCTGCCAACAAAATTAAGGAAGTCAAACCCAAAGGTATTTATACTTATGTTAACTTGAAGTAATATTAATATCTGTAGAAGCAAAGTCAAAAACTTCAAAATCAAAACCAAAACCAGCTAAAAAGGAAAAGTCTGTTGCAAAGAAAAATAAAAAAACATCAAAGGAGATCAAAGAAGAAACAAAAGAGCCTGTTACTTTAAGAAAACAAAGGTCAAGCAGAAAATCAGCTGGTAATTTAATTACTTCACATTATTCTCAACTTGTTTTAGAACCAAAGATAGATAAGAAAGTATCAACTACATCTGTATCAAAAAGAAGCACAAGATCTCAGAATAAGCAAAAAGTTAAAGTTGAAAAACAGAAAGAGACAAAATCTAAGACAAAGTCCAAATCTAAAGAAAAAGTATCCAAAACAAAGACCAAAAAGAGCTCAACAACTAAACCTAACATCGAAACCAAAGCTACAAAAGAAACCGTGAAGCTCACTAAAAAGAAGTCATCAAGATCATCACAAAGATCAAAAACTCAACGCAAACATTCCAAAAAGTAATTCATAAAATATCTTTAGAGAGGAAATAAAGACAATCAAAATTCAAGAAGATGTTCAAATGGAGCCTGAAGAATCGCCAAAATTCTCAAAAGACCAGAAAAAGAGATCAAATTCTGTAAAAGAAGAAAAGCCTTCATTATCATTCGACCCCAGCCATAGAGGAGGGAATGCTCCTGATATTTCAAACTTGCTCAAGCTGGTAAATGCTTTGGGAGGAGAGTCCCAACAAAGATCATCCACTAGATTTGTTCCTACAAAGCCACATAAGTTCAAGCCAAACTTTGGGAACACAAGTAATAAAAATGATCGAAAATAACTAACCAATTTAGAATACAAGCCTCATCCAAAACCCTCTGTAAGAGACATCAAAGAAGTCAAGCAAATTAAAGAAGAAAAAGAAGACGTGGTAATGGCCGAAGATAACCACATTAAAAAGCCTAAAGGTAAGCTTATTAATACTCACTAATAGAAAAACAAAAGCCCAAAGATTTGTTCCCCAAGGCAGAGATAGCTCTTGGAGGTTGCACTCAAAACAACAATATTGATGACCAACCGATGATTGGTACTCCCATGTCTTATCCTTTAGATGAAGAGCAGGTAGATCAAGATGATCCCTCTAATCTGTGGGTAAAGACATCAGATATTAATAAATATCCTCCAGTTACTTTCTTGGAAAAAGATCAAGAGGAAGAGTTAGAAGATTCACAACAGCAAAGCAATCAGGTATCCTCATATCCTTAGTTGTAGGTTAAATTACTCAAAAAGGATTCGCAGTTTAAAGCCGATCAGATCGAAGAAAATGGAGGCAACCAGCCCATATTTAATATTGAAAAAGAAGAGTTGGGGAATGTAGAATTTAAAGAAAATGAGTTCTATTTCATCCAACTCCCTCAGATCTTGAATATGCTTGGCCAAAGTAGAAGTAAGGGTAAATTTTTATTTTTAGTCCAAGAAAGAAATACTTTGAGAAGAATCCCTCCAGGAAAAATTGGAAAGCTCCGCATTCACAAATCAGGCAAAATCTCTCTAAAATTAGCCCCAGCTGAGTCAGAAATAAAAGAGGAAGAAGATCAGAATATGAGTTATAACAAAGATGTTGTGTACAACCTCAATCATGGTGTCAAGCAGACTTTCTACAACGAATTAGCACAAATCGAGAATGGATCTATCACATTTTTGCCAAGTATCAGCAATAAAGTAGTCATGACACCTGACATTGAATCAATGCTTTAAGTTTTATTCAATAACTTAACCAATGTTAGGGGTTTTGGGGTTTTGGGGTTTTGGGGTTTTGGGGTTTTGGTACAAATTATTGAAAATACTTGACCATAGATTTCGCTTGTTTTAATACATCTTATAAATCTCATGCATGTATTTGTGCTTGTTCTTGTCCTTCAGATATGTGATGTAGTACTCGCCTTCGTTAATAGTGCTTTTTTGAAGATTTCCTTCGATCTCTGTGGGACGGCCATATTTCTTCCAATAATCAATCTCCATTTGTTCTTTCATTCCATCGTATTTTTTTGCATCCCAAAGCAGCCAATCGGCTGCTTTGACACCTCCGAGGATTCCGAATATGAAACTTCAGTTAGCGATAAGAGCACGGGGAACACTTCTTCCCATTTTGATTTCAATTTATTATTATTTTTACGGGGTTTTGGGGTTTTGGGGTTTTGGGG